TAGATTACCATACATGACAACACCACCTAGAACTCAACCCAGATACAGAAGTGTTCAAAATAGGGAACCAGATATACCAGTTTATGATGAAGTCAAACACAAAGCATAAAGAGGGAATAGTGTAGATACAAAACTTCCAAAAGGCAAGGAAGTCAAATAGATTTCAAGATACAACAGACTGTTTTAAATGGGGAAAAATACTAATAAATTACAGAGTCACCTCAAACAAACTGAGTACATCTGCATATCAAAATAAAAGGAAAATCAGAACTATTTAGGAAACAATAACACAACAGATAGGAAACTACAAAGAAAACCCACAAACAAAATGAACTCAGTGCAGAAAATTACGTGGAACCCAGACTCCAGCAGCACCACACAAACCAACCAGCACAATAACATCAGTCAGTTCATACCCATCAAACATTAGTCAAGAGACATAAAGAGCAGAATGGATAAGAAAACAGGATCCTTCAATATGCTGTCTACAGGAGACACATTAAAAAGATGGAGACAACCTAAATGCCCATCAACAGAAGAATGGACAAACAAACTTTGGTACATAACACACAATAGAATACTATGCAACACTGAGTAATAATGATGAATCTGCGAAACACCTCACTACATAGATAAACCTGCAGGACATTATGCTGAGTGAAATTAGTGACTCACAAAAGGACAAATACTGTATGATAAGAATGTTGTAAAAAGTTAAGAAAAGGTGTTCTTGATAAAATCCTATGATGGTTATGGGGCTGGTGGGGAAGGAAAATTATTTATGAGCTAGAAGATAGACACATGTTAACACAGGTGACAGGGCAGGCAATATACAACAAGAGGGAGGTTAGCAGAGGAAAGATAAAGGTAGTAGGAATCAGGGAGGAATGCAATGTTAAAGTGAATAGAGGTAAATACTGTTAGTGTTGGTACATGGAAGGGGTTGCCATCATTGAAATGAAGCAAAGTATATAATCTGTTGAATATAAAACCAATGATAATGCTCTTTTAACTTTCACTCAATTCACAATAAAAAGTTTTAAAAAAATAAAGCAGAATAAAGTATTTCTGAGTTGGTGGCACATCACTCATGAGAATTATATTCTAACTTTTTCTGTTTCTCTTAGAGGCTAACTCTCGCTGTCAGACCCCCACAAAACAGAAGGCAAGTCCAGCTCCACCTCAGCTCTGTGTAGTGGAAGCACCTTTGGAGCCTGTGGAATGGACTGGGGCTGAAGAATCGCTTTTTCGAGTCTTCCATGGTACCTACTTCAACAACTTCTGTTCAATAGCCAGACTCCTGGGAACTAAGACATGCAAGCAGGTACTGTCTGAAAGCAGCCAGCACAAGCGTGGGTCCTCCATCTATTGATGGAGCCCTCTGCCAGCGTGTAAGTCTGTGTGTCTGCAGAGAGGTGGGTTTAGGTTTAGTCCCACCTGAATCTGTGTTTCTGGGCCATGAAGTGGGTTCCCCAAATATGGAACCTTCTGCAAATAGCCAGACTTGGGGAACTGCTCTTCTCTTTGTTGAATTCATATTTCTGTGTATGGCTACGGTGGAATCTAAATATCTTCTGGATATTTCTGCACTCTTTAAGCATCTTTCTCCCCCCCCCAGCCCCCCAGGTGTTTCTGTGGGTCTTCTTATCTGGAACACTCCTGCTGCTGCCATTTCTGCTCTCCCATCAGCCTCATCGGTTGCTTTATTCTCCATTATTTCTGTCATTTGATTTTCTAATTACGATCCTCAGTGGCTGGGCCTGGACCTGCTACTTCTCACTCATGCCATCACTAGAGACACATCAGCCACTGATGCTCTGGCAGCAGGAAATGACAGACTGAAGACATGGCTGTATAAGAAGAAAGGGACATCAGACCTTGAGCCATGCTCTCATGATACATTCCTGTAGGAGTCATAGTGGTCCCTTCTTCATGGTTCCTTTTCTTAGAACAAGTAATAGAACCATGCCTTTGCTTTCCTTTGGGTGCTTATACCTTTTCTCAGCATTTTAACCTAAAAGTCCATGGAGTTGTATGCAAGTTTATTTGTGTTTGCATTGTTCCGAGAAGGGGGTTTATAGTTTTCACAAAATCTCAAAGAAGCCTAGAACCCAAAAGGAAAAAGTTTAAAAACGAATGTGTTATCAAGAAAGAAACACACTGAAGGGGAACCAGCCTTGCTGAGATGCTGTCCTACTGACATAGTCCAGTGACTGTGACATCTTTATACCAACAGAGGGCACTAGTGCTTAGAGCACAAAAGAGTTGGAATGCCTTCAGCATTCAAACTCAAAGTTGCCCTTCCTAAGGGGCAGAGCCTGTTGGTAAGCAGCTGACTTTTCATGATTTCGCATAAAGAGCAGTAGATTAAAGCAGCTGACCAGGGAAAGTGTTACTATGCTCAGTATTTTTCCCTTCTCAAGTCAGGCTAAATACTTAAGAATTAACTTCAAAGCCAGTGACCAACATCTTAATGCCAATTTGTTCCTAACTGAAGAGATGCCCAGGGGCCACTCACTCAGCTGCCTGTGAGCTCTCCAGAACCCTGCAAGCCCAGCACCTGGCTGATGTCAGTTATCTGACCACCTCATTTGAGAAGGAGTAACAGGTTTTGTTGGACTTCTCTTCCAGGTCTTTCAGTTTGCAGTCAAAGAATCTCTCATCTTGAAGCTGCCAACAGATGAGCTCATGAACCCCTCACAGAAGAAGAAAAGAAAGCACAGGCAAGGGTCGGACAAAGGACTTCTTTTGACCATGCTGCCCCTTGTGCTCTGACTCTCTTTGGACTTCCCATCTGCCTCCCTCTTAGCCATTACACAAGGCTATGTGATGTCCATCCATTAGTATTACACAACTGAGGGCTGGACTTCTCAGTGTTCCCTGAGGGTCTGTGTCCTGGACCAGCCCTACTGCGTCCCTTTCCCCCAGCCCCAGATGCTTTGGGCCATGAGATAACTATCTGGTTTTCCATTGACCCTCCTGGCCTCATGGCCCCACCCTGTGCTCCTTATTGGGTCCTTAGGAACCACCATACCCACTTCTCAGCTCTGGCCAGAATTTTTTCCTTTGCTTTGTTTTTTGGCACTTGGGTTGTTTTTCTAAGTTGCATAATAACACTGCCTTCGAGCTTTTTTTTGTTTGTTTCAGGATTGGAAGCTTTTAAAAAAGTTTGGCTGGCACTCTGCCTGGCTTGGTTCTCTAATAACTACAGCCTATCAGAGGAAGGAGCTGACGCCAACTCTAAATCTAGAAGGAAATGCCTGTTGCTTCTCCCTTTCAGTTTCCTTCACTCAGAGTAGAGTCCTGAAAGGACTTCCTACCTTCCCAGTTTGAACGTCCTTCTTAGCCCCACCTCCACCCAAAGAGGGAGAGAGAATGAAATAACAGCATTATAATGCATGTGTGGTGCTGGGTTTTGTTGCTTCTGTGGGTTTGTGCTTTAATATTTTTATTTGTTTTACTGAAGGGCAAGTTGTTATTGCTTAAGTTTCCATCTTGAAGTACAGGCCAACTGGATCTAGGATGTAGTTTCCTGATAGGGGCACTACTTCCAGAGTAGAGTAGGGGTGAGATACACCCCAATCTCAAACCACAGTTCCTCAGAGCAAGTCACATTGTCATTTACCCACATCTGCAAAAAAACCCAGTGCCATGACCCAGAGCAGCCCCTTTTCTTTTCCAGGCTGTGGGCTGCACACTGCAGGAAAATTCAGTTGAAGAAAGGTAAGTTTCCCCTTTCTTAGTGCTCTTCGGCAGCTCCCGTGAGCTCTCACTGGATGGCCATCTTCTGCCCCACCTGCAGCTGCGCTTACTGACCCTGAGCGGCTCCCACCAACCACAGAGTTCTCTGAAGCAGCTAAGAACAGCTCAGTTTCCCGCTGCAGCTGCGAAGACCTGTAAGGAAGCAGAGTTAGGAGCCTTGTGGTCTTTGACTTACACAGTGTGCCATTCACTACATTTTAGACCTCATGTCATGTTTAAAATCGCTGCCTCGTCTCCTGGACCATCTCTGCACTCTTAAACACACGCACACAAAACACTAGTGTAGCCTATGAATAACTATCATCTCTGATTGTCTCTCACTTCAGTGCTAAAATATGTGTTACATATGGTTAATCTCCTTTGAATCAGAGCAGGTAGTGTTCACAGCACTATTCTGGTTTCTTCCACTTTCTCCTAGATAACTCTTCCACACAAGTGTACAACTACCAACCCTGCGACCACCCAGACCGGCCCTGTGACAGCACCTGCCCTTGTATCATGACTCAGAATTTCTGTGAGAAATTCTGCCAGTGTAACCCAGATTGTAAGTGTTTCACGTTTTCTCCTACACTTCCAAGGCCAGTCGGCCTCAAAACAGCCCAGGTTTCCCACCCGTTTCCTGCACCCTTAGCTGTTATAGGCTGACTCATATTTTCTTTGCTGTGTTTTGGGCATTACGGAAGGAACAGGATAAGCACTGGACTGCCAATCACAAGATTGGTGGTTCGAGTCCACCAACTGCTCTGCTGGAGAAAGATGAGCCTTTCTGCTCGTACAAAGATTTAAAGAGCCTGAGAAACCCTGTGCAGTATCGCTATGAGTTGGAACCAACTCGACAGCACTCAACAGCAACATAAGACTAAAAAAACAAATCCCTTAAGTTTACAGTTCTCAAAGCAACAGAAATCAGATGTTTTCCCCAATTTTACCTTCCAGAGCAGAGTTAAGAACTCGGGAATCTTTTTTTCTTAAATGAAGTTACAGTCTCCTTTTAAAGATGTTCCCTTTAAAAAAGATGTTCCTTTTAAAAAAAGATGTTCCCTGTAAAAAAGATGTTCCCTGTAAAAAAAAAAAAAATTAAACATTGAAGTTGCATCATGTGATGCCACCATGCTCTCCTCGGCCAGGCCTAAAGAAGGAAAATGAATTAAGTTGAAATTCTGTTTATGTCTATTTTAGTTCACTATTTGGGATTTTAGTATCAGGTTGGAACAGGGGTCTGGATGTCAGCAGAAGGCAGGGTAGAAGCTAAAAGGGCTTCTTTTTCAGTTTTCCTACCATGCCCTTCTCCCCTCAAGGCTGAGCAGCTTGGTGGTACCTCTAGGACTTGCAGACCTTGGTGCCTAGGCAGCTGTGTGAATCGTTCTGTACCGGCAGCAGATACCGATCTTAGCCACAGTGGAGAGGTGTATGTGTTGAGGAGGGTAGTGGGTGGAGGAGGGTGGGGGTAGAACGGATACATTCTGTTCTCAAAATGATTCTTGTTTTGATGGTGAGGGTTTACCAGTGAAAAGCACTGATTGCGTTTTCTCTGGGGCACTGTCCACCTCCCTTCTACATTCCACCAAGGAAGAGGGGGAGAGTACTGTTAGGGAAACTCTTGGAAACACATCTTCTCAGTAGTGAAACCTGATTTCTTTGACTCAGAGGCATGAATGTTGGGAAACGCTCTGTTTTCTCTGTGGGGGAAGCCTGAATATGTGATTATCAGGAAGGGAGCATGTCTCCTGTTTTGCTAAACTTCCTTAACTTGTAACATTTACTGCCATGCTGCCCCAGTCATCTGTGATTCCCAACCTAGGCTGCGTATCAGCCGAACCTTCTTGTCTTCCCACCAGGTCAGAATCGCTTCCCTGGCTGTCGCTGCAAGACCCAGTGCAACACCAAGCAGTGTCCTTGCTATCTGGCAGTGCGAGAGTGTGACCCCGACCTTTGTCTCACCTGTGGGGCCTCAGAGCACTGGGACTGCAAGGTGGTTTCCTGTAAAAACTGTAGCATCCAGCGTGGCCTCAAGAAGGTGAGGGCTTTTCTCAGTCAGGGCTCTGGGACAGATGATGGCGTGGGAAAGAAGGCCACCCCAGTGCCCTGCCTTTCCACAGCTTCTGTAGTGGCCTTGTACGTGAAACCAAACCCCAACCCTGTTACCGTCAAGTGGACAGCCCCATAGGGTGTCCAAGACTTCCTCTTTACGGGAGCAGCCTGCCACATCTGTCTCCCACTGAATGGCTGGTGAATTTGAACTGCCATTCTCATGATTCACAACTGAGCACTGTCCCACAAGGGCGCCCTTTGTATATGAAAATATTTCTAAACTCCTAAAAGACATACATTCTCTGAATTAATAAAGTTTTCTGCCCCAGTGAAGGGTCAGCTTCCTGAACCGAGCAGACAGGAGCAGGCAGATGGGAGGAGCGCTGTTGATGTTGTCTATTTGTACTTTACAGACACCATTGAATTCCCGGAGATTTGGCTCCTGGAGGTCCCTGAGCCTAGAGGAAGGGGTGTCACCACCTCTCCTTTTTGTTTTTCCTTCCACCAGAACAGAATGACTTTGACATTTTTCTGTTTTCATATCCTCTTTAACAGTTGCTAGTTCTTTCCACCCTGCTCCTCCTCACCTGCACATGTCTACACAGCACACAATACCCCACACTCACAGGCTGTGTAATCTGAGGTTTGGCTCCTTCTTCTCTAGCACCTGCTCCTGGCGCCCTCAGATGTGGCCGGATGGGGCACCTTCATAAAAGAGTCTGTGCAGAAGAATGAATTCATTTCTGAGTATTGTGGTGAGGTGAGTGCTGTAGGCTTGGCTCATATTCTTACTGTGGTGGATGCTGATGGAAACCCTGATTTTCTGTGAGCCAGGCTGCCATGAATTCATCTCTAAATAACTCAGCTGAGCTTTCATGTGGCCTCTCTGGGGGATCCCACAGAAGTCTTTGCAATCCTGAAACAAACCACTGTTTATCAGCTCTGTGACAATTCAGCATACACAAGAACGGGTGAGGGGCTCTTTCCAGCCTCAGTACTGCTCAGTCTTGGTGGGGATTGGAACAAAATGGCCTGAGCGCTATCTCTTAGGAATCTCAGCATAATACTCAAATGAGCCCCCTATGTTATATGTGCTGCTGCCCACCTTCTCAGCCCTACTGGCAGTAGGGAGCCTTGCCCCATGCAGACAACCCAATACTCAATTTGCTCCTTGTCTGTCTATCCAGCTCATCTCTCAGGATGAGGCTGATCGGCGAGGGAAGGTCTATGATAAATACATGTCCAGCTTCCTCTTCAACCTCAACAATGGTATGGAGTCTTTTTCTCTCCTCACAAGGTTGTCCTGGGCAGGTCTTTCTTCCAAATTGCTCCTGCATCAGTTTGGCTCAGATCAGCTCGGAATCTTCCAGCAAGGTGTTAAAATAGAACTCAGAGATACCATATGCCCCAGTTCACTTGCTTTGGGAGAACCTCCCTTTTGGGGTTGTGTTTACAGTAGAATCACTGAGCACAGACACTTCAGAAATCCCCATACCCAAGAGAGAGGAAGAGGAGCTCCGTAGCTGAAGCAAAGGGGTTAAGGTGGGGTTTCCACACCAGACTGAATTATACTGCATGTGTTTTCCAGCTCCTGTTAGTACACTGGTCTTCAAAAGCCCCATCAGACTGAGTTACTTCTATTACTAGGAAGGGAATTTAAATTCAGGCTAAAGAAGCTGTGGAGGTTGCCCAATTCATTCTTGTGGTCTCCCTTGATTTACTTTATACAGATTTTGTAGTGGATGCTACCCGGAAAGGCAACAAAATTCGATTTGCAAACCATTCTGTGAACCCCAACTGTTACGCCAAAGGTGAGTTCCCAGTGACCTGAGAGATGTGTGTGGGCAGAGGGGAAGGGAAGGCCTCATTTAGTGTGATTTCTCTCTATTCTTCAACTTGATTCAGATGTGAGGTGTTTTTATGTAAAGATCTAACATCTGAAACCTCTTTAGTCCTCTCTTTCCCTCTCAGTTTTAGAATCTGCTTTTTCATCAAATAATTATGAACATTTTTCTGCAAATGTGCATCTTTTAAAAGATAATTCTTTCCCATATCACTAACTAAAATAACACATCTAAAGACATGGAGGCAACTACCTTCATGACTACTTTGTAGTTCTACTTCATTTATGTTTCCACTGAAAACTGGAGAAAATTCAGCTCAGACTCCTCCTGAGGGACTAGAGGAATTGACTTGGAGTTGACTAGGGTCTCTCCTATTTGCAGTGGTCATGGTGAATGGAGATCATCGGATTGGGATCTTTGCCAAGAGGGCAATTCAAGCTGGTGAAGAGCTCTTCTTTGATTACAGGTGAGGCAACCAACAATGTCCTAGGGAGATGACCTTAGAGGCTGTCCGAATTGACTCTGCGGAACTTAAGGTGGGAGATAGTGATGAAAGAGAAGGTTCCACAGTGGACAAGCTGTTTCTTTGTTCCAGTCTCTCTGGGGCACCTTATTTCATTGTAAACAGCTGTTAGGGAGTGGGAGGGGAAGTGAAACTTGGTAGGGGTTCCATCTTTTCAATAACAAAGCCTCAGTAATAACCTTGATCCTCCTCCCTGCTCTGGGACAGGTACAGCCAAGCAGATGCCCTCAAGTACGTGGGAATCGAGAGAGAAACCGATGTCCTGTAGCCCTTCTGGGCCCCTTGCCAGCGCTATGGTAGCGGCACTGTCTTTGCTTTCATGCACACATCACTGCTGCTCCAGATTCCTGCACTGTGTGTCTCCCACACTGAGAACCCCCACCCATCCGTTTGTAGTGAGTGTGGACAGAATTGTCTCTGTGAAAGGGAAGACCAGGAGCCAGCACTTGGCACCCAGGAGAGAGGGACTCAGAGGAAGAGTGCCCAGGCTGCAGGGGGGACGATGTATGCTGGGTTTCTGTTTACCTCATCTAAGGGGTTCCCAGGCACATCTCTGTGGTCCCAAGACCTGGAAAGGACAGGTTACATGAAGCTGAGCACCGGGAGCCTACGTCTGACTTAGAGATGAGCTTTGCAAGTAGCACAGACTGAATTTAGAGGGGAGACAGGCCACCTTGTTACCTCCTCCCTCATGGCAGGGCTTAAATGAGAGTGTGGACTCTTGAAGTATGTCGGTCTTCAAGGCTGGACAAAGGAAAGCTAAGTGCTTGCTATCCATGGGCAGAGAGGGAAAACCAGTCTGGCAGTAGTTAATGCGCTACACTCAGGGTCCAAAAGGCCACAAGCAAGTCATCTCTGCAGACTTTGGAGATGGATGGATAAGTGTGCTCTGATTTCTGGGAGCAGGTGCCAGTGCAGCCACCTCCTTCCTAGAGTTGGGCTTGGCAACTCCTGGCAGGTATTTGCTGCTACTGAAGAAGAGTTTTATTTGTTGTTTTCCTTGTGGGGGGGGGGAGCCTTGGCGTGTGAACACACTAATTTCCCCAAGAGTAAGTAGTTTTTTCAGGCTTTACATTCCCCATTTGGCCCAAGGGGTCACTGTTGCTTATCTCTTCAGGGTAGTTGGGCCCAGGCCTAGACTAGAGAGGGGACGATTCTTGGTGGGATTACTTTCCTGTCTGTGGTACCTGCTGTTAAGCATAGGATGGCGGTCCACGTGGAGGTCAGTGTGAGAGGCAGCCAGTGGGATCACCTCCCCGCCCCCCCAAGTCTGTGGTGCCGTTCTCTCTGGGATTCACGCAGAGCAAAGCACTTTACCCTTCTTTTAGAAGGTCTGGAGTTTGGGGTGGAGCTTGAGCTTCAGTCTTTGGGGCCCTAGCTCAGATCCTACTCCTGAGGGGGCAGGGAGGAGCAAGAGTGGAAGATTTCCAGTTGTGTCTCATCTCCTAGGGAAGGCAGATGGAGCTGTCTTGACACAAAAGAATTAAAGAGAATAGGGCCAACAAGAGTTAGCCCTGCATCTGTATCCGTGGCTAGTGCCGAGCTCTCCAGGGAAATAAGGAGTGTTAGGCTTGGGTAGGAAGGACTTGGGCAGGAACAGACTGATGTTGGGAGAACTGGACTAGATAGTGGACTGACCCCTTCTCTCTGGGGAGCCAGAGCTTCTCTTCCCTCAGTCTATGCTGACTGCTCCCTCCATTCAACCCCACTGGCTATCAAGGCACGGGGCTCCCTCTGTCCAGGCTGGCTCCTAGGGATTTTAGGGGGACTTGTGCACACACACTCACTCACCATACTTGTAGGCACATGTGTGCCCGGCACTCAGCAAACTCCCTACCCACTCCTGACAGAAGCCATCTGCCCATTTGATTGGGGCAGCCCCAGCCATGACTCTGAGACCTGCTTCAGCCATGGTTTGGATTCAGTATGTACTGGGGACTCCCTGGAGCTGTCCTGTGCTCTCCAAATGACTCATAAATTATAGGGTGGGGGACACAGAGACAGATGCAGGAGGAGCAGCCAGGTCTGTCTGACTGCCAGGGGCTGGTCAGGCAGGAAGAAGAGAAAAGGGAAGAAATTTTACCCAGCCTTTGGGAGGCCAACCTGACCCCCCTCCTCCCCCAATTTCAGACCACTAGTACTCCTATTCCTTTTTCCCTGCTGTTCTGCACCTTAACTGATGGGTCTCAATCCACCCCACCCTCCAGCAAAATGCAAAGTTGGGATGGAGCAAGGTGACGGCTGGGAGGGAGGCTGCTATATGTGTGGTTTTATAGCCAGTGAATTTCACGCACTTTAAAGTCCTGTGGCTTGTGACCTCTTACCTGAATAAAGTGGTAGAATCCATTTTAGCAGGTTGTGTACTGTCTGCTTTGGAGCTAGAAGGACCCGGGGATGTTGGTACAGGAGTGGCTCCAGCTGATGCGCTAGCATTCTGACCACCCCCTGTTTGCCCATTGCTTTCTGGGTTGGGAAAAGGAGGCCAAGGTATGGTGGTGGGTGAGGAGAGATGGGAGACTGGTAGGATCCAATCCCCCTGCAGGGGATTCAAGGGTTTTGAAGGCTCCCCTAGAACCATTCCATTTGCCCCCTAACCACGACGCCAGCCACACACACAGACTGGGGCTCCACCACTCCGCCTTTATTGGAAAGGTTCTGAGTCTGAGAGCACAGCAGGCTCAACCCTGATTCAGGTGGAGCTCTGGATCCGGCTGGGCAAGGGACCAGCAGAACTCACGAGACTTCTAACATAGGAGAGCAGACTACAGAGTGTGGGCACAGCACAGCACAGAACAGTTGATTGGTTTTTTCTTTTATATATAAACTGATAATTTAAAAAATTAGAGTACTATATAGAGTTTCTCTAGAGAGAGACTTTGCAACAAAAAATATATATAAAGAATATGACCTCCTGGGCAAATAGCAGCATCTCTGAGCATCTTTAGGAAAGAGGGCTCCTCATGCATTGGAGAGGGGACCAAGCCTTTGGACAGGCACCAAGGCTATTGCATATCTTGAAAGAGGGTGGGAGAGTCAGGGCTGGCTAGTCAGGGTGTCTGCGGTATTTTCTCTACATTGCAACTGTTTGTTTATGGCTTTGGCTAAAGCAGTGAAGCAGCGGAGGTACTAAGGTGCTAAACTGAGGCCTCTTGGTCTCTGTAAAAAACAAAGTGGGGGTGGGGAACAAAACTGACGCCCTCCTTAACCCCCAGCTGAGTGGAAGCAGATGGAAGACTTGCTGTAGGGCAGGGGGGAGGTTTGGGGGATATGATTTAGCAGCCTCCTCCCCCCATACCCTGTGCATCCCTGCAATCCCACACATCTGTCCCTGCTGAGATTGTGTATTTGAAGGGATGCAGTTAAACTCCCCTTCACTCTGTTGTTAATCCCTGGCAGCAGCTGGGACCGAAATGGCAGCAAGGGTCCCATCTCAGTCCCACGAGGCTTCTCTTCTGGGGTAGGCCAACAGCCATGAGTCTGGGGAAGCAGGGATGGGCAGGGAATTGGTTTAGGCAGTGAGGCTCAGCCACTCCCTTTGGTCCCATCTATAGCTCTGCTGACCAAATGTGGCAGAAGGGATATCCTCTGGATAGGCAGAACCAGTTAAAAGGAACCAAATGTCCCTGATGTGAGATGTTATGGAGCTAGGAGTAGGGGAATTCAGAGAGGGTGAACTTGGTCCCTGAAGCCCTTCTGACTCATTCAGACCTGGACTCCTCCAGGATCTGAGGTAAGTTCTGGTCCCGGGGGACAGGGGCTGAGGCTGGGGCTGGGGTGGGAGCTGGTGTAGGAGTTGGGGCCTGGACAGAGCCTGAAGTAGGTAGGGGAGGTTTGCTGCCAGGTTGGTAATCGTGGGTGGCTTTGGGCTCATTGGTGTGGTAGGAGCCCTTGTAGCGATGATTTTGCAGATAGAAGAGCACCAACATGCCCACCAGCCCCAGTAGCAGGAAGGCCACTAGAACTAAGAGGAAAAAAAAGGAACAATTCAGGGCAGGCCTTTGGCATCCACTAGGCATGTACACATATGTTGTTAAGTACTGTCAAGTCGGTTCTAACTCATAATGACCCTGTCTGTATAGGGTTTTTAAGGCTGTAGATCTCTGCGGGAACAGAAAGCCTCATAGTTCTCCTGCAGAGTGCCTTGTGGACTAAAACCACCAACCTTGTGACTCTCAGTTCAGTGCTTATCCTACAGAGCCACCGTGATCCCCATGCATAAATACTTTTGTCCAACTCACCTGTACAAACACATCAAGCTTTCCTAAGTCTCTGGCAGGTTTGCATTCCTGCTCTATCCCCTGCCATCGTCTAATTGCTTTTGTTCTAGTTACATATCCCTTGTGGTGGTGTTTGAGTTGGTTCTGGCTGTACAGGGTTTCTGGGAGTGGCTGGTGGGTTTGAATAGCCCATATGTGGTTAGCAGTCCAGTGCTTATCCTACAGCATCCCATTAGGGCTCATATCCCTCCCTGCTAGTTAGCTCAGTTCCTCAGCTCTCCAGATGTCATTGCAGCCCCATTCCTTTAGCCCTTAGTTAGAGCCCCATTTTGACGCTGCATTTCAATGAAAAGTTGACTGCATCCTCAGATATTGACAATCTCCAGCCCCTTAATGAAATGATCATAGTTACATAGTACCTGCAGCATAGCCTATCACTTTCTCTGTCACCATGATCTACCTTAGTGCCTTCACCACCCCTCAGCCCTGGGGATAAGAGACTAGAAGGAAATGCTGGAGATCAGAGGTCAAAATGATCAGTACTACTCACAGCCTAAAAGTATGGCAACCCATCCATCATCATGGTAGTATGGGAAGTCTAAAGAGGAGAAAACACCAGTTAGGAGAAGCCTCCCCCATGTTAAGAGGCATTTCCCTTGTCATCCCTCCCTTCTCTCTCCTGTGTCCGGGATGTACCTGGGGGCAAGTACCAGGGATCAAGTTCAGGTGGCACCTCTGAGACAAGACGTGGCATGGCTCCACAGTTAGATTCTGACAGTTCTCCCTGAACTCGAAGGGCCTCAGCAAGCTCAGCCGTCATGGGCCGAGGGGTCCGGAAGTGGGTCTTGAGGGGAGCCACATTGTTGAATCGAACACCAGACAGGCAGCCTGAGAAACCTGGTGTGTTATAGCGCTGGATCTCTGGGTCAATTACGCCTGTCTCTAAGGGAGAGACAGGCCCAGAAAGAAAGGGACTGGACCACCTGATAGCCCAGAGCCCTCTCACAATCCTTAGGTTTCCCACTCAGTTTTGCCACCATCATCACCTCTATTCCCAGCCCATTGTCCCTTCAGGCTCCAAGGTCTGTACCCAAAACTCCTTACTCACAACTACCCCCCCCCCCACAGCTTACCCATAACACGCCCCAGATACAAGGCCTTGGGTGAATCCAACTGACTGTCCACCAACAGTGAGAACTTCTGTTCTGTCAGTGGG